AAGTTTATATACGTGACAATGAAATATAAAAAAAATTTAATATACAATATAATAATACGAGTAATTGTGGAATGAAGGGAATTATATCGATATTATGCGAGAAACGGTGCAATTTGAGATTGTATTGCCGGATTAATTTTTAAATTAAAAATTTCTTGTTACGTTTAATTATATTAATTATATAAAATAAAAGAAAACTTCAATTTTCTTATAAAATATATTTTAAAAAGGCACATTAAAATGTGACAAAAATATGATAATTTTTTAAAATTATCTACAATAGATAATTATTAATTTTATTTGCAAATACAAAAATTTCAGTATAGATAAATCGCATTTTATTTATCCAAGCCGAATTTTCCGTGATGCAGTTGCAATAGAAATTTCTGTTCTCTTGTTACGAAGCGAACGGACCGGCCGAATTTCAGGAACGTTAACCGTTAATTTCAAGAACGTCGTCAGTGCTTCTTCCGGTCGCGACACTCTGCGAGCACCAAGTTATTTGAGCGTGCTTGACCATAATTCATCGCAGGTGTCGACTCGCTGAGCAAGCAATTTGTGCGGCTCTACGAATTTACGTTAATTTCCAGGAGGCGGGGTGGAAGGAGGAGGGAGGGGAGAGGGGGGAGGGCCACGTGCGCGCCGACAAGAGTTCCGAAAGGGGCGAGTAGAAACGGCCGGTTAAAGTCAGACAAGCGTGCGTATGCGCCACTCCTGCAGCAGGCGAGTTTACTGTGCGGTCTCTCGGTTGTTAGATAAGGTACGCTCGTGTTAGACGTGAAACACATGTCCCTACGAATTTCTCCCTCGCGAAATTCGATTACGATCCTCCCGAAAATTCATAATACCTTTACCGTTGTTCTCGAGATTAATATCAACCAACCTCGTCGCTCGCTTCCGTTCCACGAGTTCCACGAGTGTTGATTAGCGCGTTTCGTCAAACCTCGCCTAGCTCTCACATGTACGTCGAATTACATTTACTACCGGAACGGGAATCCGTATATATATAGCGGAATTCTCGAAAATACGATTTCAAGATTACGATTTTCCCCGGTGTAACTTCTCTTAGGGAATATATAAGGAAGATTCACTCTCTGCGCGCGGGAAACGGTATGCGATTTGAATTTACGTATTCGCGTGCAAATAAACGTAAGTAAGGTTTCTGATGCGATGCGGCGCATTACAGGTACTTCGCGCGCACGGCGCGCGAAACAGCCGGCGTTCAAAGGAAGAAAACGCGGGAGACGACTTGAATCCCGCACGGTGACGCGCGCGGCGACGAGGGGGAAGGGGGGGGAGGGGTCTTCCCCTCGGGCGATACCCAGGAAACTTTTCCGGGTGCCGGAGCATTAGAGTTATTTACCGCGGGAAGCCCCATTTTCGGCGGCCACACTCGCCAACGGCGCGAAAGTGCGAAAGGGCAACGCGATACTTATACAGCTCGCGGCCCGGGCCATAAAGGCCGCCATAAATTGCACCCTTGATAAAAGTAGCTATATTTAATGCCGGCCACCCGCGGGGGTACACCTGAATACGAATTCATTCGCCCTGACAGTGGCAGCGTACATTTTATCCGCAGAATACGACGCGAAGCTCAAGAATCGCGCGCGCTTTTCGGCTCGGGGATTACGGTATATTTGTGCCACCATTGTGCGCGTCCCGCTTTCCTTATCCCCCTGTCATGAAATTCAGCGGGGTCGACTTCAGCAGGAGGGGGATGAGAATCCGACATTACGACGGTCGTGAGATATAAAGTTATTACAGGTCGATCCTTTTTAATTTTGTTTACCGTACCTATACGGCGATAAAAGTTTTTTTTCCGCAAGTCTTCTTGCGAAGTCTGTATATAAGTAAGCTTGATTTTATTTACCGCAATAGAGTCAAATACGAATATTATGATTGCCGATTGCAATTATGTTTTTTTTTATTTAATATAAAATGTATAACCTTCGTTCTTCTGTCAATGAAGAGCTACAATGAAGCATCAATGTAGATACGTGTTCTTCCGTATACGATAATTAAAAGTGTGTTTAGGTACATGAAAAAGCCACGATTTTCATATCTCAGTTATCATTCCTCTAATTAACAGTAGAAATTTTGAATAATGTGACTGCAAAGTCTAAATAAAAATATAGCGAAAACCTGTGCTATGCGTAATAATGATAAAATTTTGCCTTTTTTTTGTCGCCGCATCGCACTCCGCCGCTGTAAAATGATATTATTTGCTATTTGTGTACGCGCGGTATGGACTTTTAATGCGTCGCTATCTCAAAGAGACAGAAAAAAAATGGCGCAGTTTAGGACAACGAGGCAATTCTGAATAATAATGTTTTTCGTGTTTCACGTTAAAAAAAACGCGGCCAGTTTTTGGATGAAAGCAACGCAATAAATGACGAATGTGAAACTCTGAGCAGACAGCGCGGGCAGCTTTTTGACGGGGAACGTTGCGGCAGTTGTTGACCTAAACCGCTAAAAAAAGCTGTTATTGAAAACTGTCCCGCGCGTACAAAACTGTTCCCCTTTCTCTTGCTTAAACTGTATTTTTCTCGAGTAACACTATAGTGTTACTATCGAAACTGGTACACCGAGATCAAAATACATAGTGGAAAGGAGGAGTTCGATGGCAAATAAAATACCTATTACGTAATTCGCCATCGTTAGATCAAAGTGAAGAATCTGAAGTACACTGTATATTTGTGGAAATAAATTTTGCATTGTATATTTTCTTCGTTAGCTCTGTTCTTCAGCTCGCAATGGCGAGAATGGTGTTCCTGCTCAGTTTTCTCACGTTGTGCTGTTGGAGAAGCGCGAGTTCCGCGTCGAGATCGGGCAGGCAGATACTGTACCCGCCGCCGATCGTCTACCCATTCGGAGGAACATTCAAGGTATATACTGTTTAAGCGCTTCTTATCTCTGGAAAATATTACTTCTCCTCAGTAACATCGCGCCCAGAAATACCGCTTCATCGGTTTTAATTTCATCGTTGCGAAGTTCCGCCGCCGCGCTTGGAGGATCCTTGATTAGCTTGGGAACTAATTTTTGAAGTACTCCAATTGCTGTTGCTGCTGCTGCTGCGCGCGTATTTGAAAATGTGTTTCTGCGTTCCTGAGTATTTCCCTCAAGAAGAGACGAAGGCGCTAACTAATTACGATTCCCGCGGCGTGACGCTTCGCCGAGCGAAGTGATAGCGCCGAGAGTACTCCACGCGGAGAGACGCGGAGAGATTCTCTCTGTCCCGCAAATATCTACCCATCGTCTATACGTACCGATGACGCTCTCCCATCCTCGCGGACGTGGCGGATTTCTGTAATCATCCCCGCGCACTCTGGGCACCGCGGAAATCAAGTTTTTCGCATAAAGGAAACGCACTCTTTGACCGGTGAAGCTTCAGTTTCAACGCGCAATTTGTTTTCACGTGATTATTACTTTATTACACACGTTATTTCATCGCTTTAATATCCATCGTTAGGTAAAAATTCATAGTTTCTCGTAACATCTCGAAGCAAAATGCTTAATTAACAATTTAATCAAAACGCAATTATCTATACCTTTTACTGGAAGCTGGTTTGTAATTTGTTATTTGTAAAGTCAAGAAAAAATACGTTGCATGGATTAAAACATCTAATTGAAAATGTTCTATACTTGTACGTTTTAGTCTTTATATGTGAGAAAAAATAATAAAAAATTCAAAAAGAGAGAGAGAAAGAGAGAGAAAATAAGAAAAAACTTAAAGTACATAAAATTTTATTTTTTGTTAGATAGGTTAATTTATTCGTAATTATTTTTCCCTTCGAGCTTTCTTGTTAACATATTAAATAAAAATTACTCTCACACACATCGTCATCCTGATTCTCTCTACACATTTAACCCGGCCAGCTTAATTAACACAGCGGGATCGAAATTATTTCAAAATTAAAAAGGTAATTTCGAAGATAAAATAACGAAGCGCATTAAATTTTCTTTAAATACAGTTTCACGCTATCGGATAACAGTGCTGTTAGTATTTTCGACAGCTAGCACAAAAAGCAGGGGAACAAATTTAAATGGCGAGAACGTCCCGGCGTTCGGCACAGGACGATTGATAATTAACTGCAGTTTTATCTGCGATCCGCCCTTAAATTCTCTAATTAATTCGGTAAACCTCTTGCTGTGCAGTTTTCGCCATCGGACGAGACAGTTCGATGTCGCGACGGATTGTTTGTCTTCGTTTTCGCTGCCTCTACGAGATAGTCTCGGTTATTAGTACTATCTCTCTCTCTCTCTCTCTCTCTCTCTCTCTCTCTCTCTCTCTCTCTTTCTCTTCCTCTGAAGGAAAGAAAACTTAGGGGAAATTAAACGAAAACTCAATAGAGTGTCTGATCGGCGTGTAAATAAGCGGTTTTCAAATTGTCTGGAGAAGTAATCAGAAATGAGAGAGTGTTAGTTCTTCCTTCTTTCCTTTTCCGCTTCAAACTTTGCTACGCGATCATGGACGATAGGAATTAAGGATGATTGTTACTTTAAACCTAGATAAATAATGTAATAATCAACGAATTATAATACCCACAAATTTTGTAAACGACACTTGCGAATAATAGAGTTTTCTTAAAACCATAATTGGAACATTTATTTGAAAATAATGAAAAATTAATGTTGTCAAAAATTAACTTGTCCCAGATTTTGTATTTTTTAGCATGAAAAACGTATTACTATCTACATTAATATTTTTATCACAATTTTATTTTTTTATATTCGCTTTTTTATTTTTAAGATATGGTGCTTTTTTAGAACACATTTCTCTCCCGTCTTTTGCAAATGTTTTTCCGTTGCCGTGCAATATGCAATAGAAATGACGTGTATCAGCGGAACGTAATTGAGAATTGAGTTATCATAAATTGGCGAAACATCAAAGTTATATCACTTCTTCTAACGCGTTGAATGAAAATAATCGCGGATCGAGTATACAGGTAACGCTACAACAACAAAACGTTTCGGCGTTTCAGAAAAGAACTTGGCAGCATTCGAACGATCGTTGCATACCGTGCCTCTTTTTTTCGTTCATTTTGTGAAAACAGGAAATCAAAAAATGAAACGTGGGTGCACGAGCGGGTGGGGGGGGGTTCGATGTAGATATATGCGATCAATGCGTGTGAAAGGGTGTCGAAACATGGCGCGAGCTGGCGTACGTGCAAACGTACGGAAACAACGAAGCGAGAGATTCGAGCGACGTTCCTCGATCGCTCGCGTTGTAACGCGGAAGATAGTGAATTGTTCCCCTTTCGAGGGCGGGTCGAGAAGAGATCCTTTAATCCAAGGAGCGGCGCGCGGCAATTGTAAATATTTGAATGTTTGCCTTTTAAAACGCCGCCGGCGCGCGGCGGCCTGCAAAGGGGGAAAGCGAATTCGGGCGCGTTCGGGTCACCGCACGTGCAAACTTCGCGGAGGAAATTATGTCGAGGTTTGATTGTGATTCGCAAGACGGAGCGGGGGCTCGAGGGAGAGAGACGTAGCTCTCATTCTCTCTCTCTCTCTCTCTCTCTCTCTCTCCCTTTTACTCTCTCTTTTTCCTCTCCGGAGACTATTGCGCTTCCCCGCGGTAATACCGCCACGCGCAAAATGCATCGTTAATAAAGTGCGGCTTGAATATATATTTCGCGGAATGCTCCCCGTTATTGCGCGCTTGATACAACGATATTGGGTTACACAATGTCTGTTAAATACCACGAGAAAAGCTCCGCCGGAGCTGGCTGGCTTCGCCGGGGTGCAGCCAATTCAACAAGCGAAGACGCCTGCACGCGCGTTTCTTCCGCGGGAGGATCGGCAGCGCTCTGCAGCCCTCTCCCCCCCCCCCCCCCGCCCTCGCCCACGCCGCGCCGCCGCGCGCCACCGCTTTAACAAATGTGCAATATCCGTAACAGAGGTAAATTCCCAGGTAAACATTCGGAATTACAAAGCTCTCGGCTCGCGATCGCGGGAGAGAGCCTTCGGGATTCCTAATGTAAATACGTTCCGAAAATGTCGATAGGAGGGAAAACAAGACGCGCCGCGATCGCTCGCGGAAGCGCGCGAGCGCTGCCCGTCCTTCCAACAGCGAGCCAGATATTTAGAATGGGATATCGATCTCTCGTCTTGATTCCAATAAGGACGAGTCCGGCGTCCAATCCTCGTGGGACGGCCGACGTCGAATTCAGATTCCGTCGGTGCATCCGGGTCGCTGCATAACGGAAATGTTACGCGATTTCGACAGCGGTCGACCGACAAAAAGCCAGACTGCGAATAACGAATAACGTCTGCGTGAGGAGTAGCAGAGAGAGAGAGAGAGAGAGAGAGAGAGAGAAAGAGAGAGAGAGAGAGAAAGATGAAAAATTTTGCGCGAGCCGGGTGCAAAGTTTACCGTTAAAATGTAGGCTGGTATTTCTGAGAGCGAAAAGAAGTCGAGACGATAAGTACATATTGATATTGACAAGCCTTTCGAGCCTCTACGATGCTCGGTTCCCTTCGAGAAATTTGTATATCTTGTGCAAAAAAAACTACGAAGGAATACAATTTTTATCCCCTCTTACGTAACGCTCGCCTATTTTCGTAACGTATTCTGTTATTATTTTAACGACTATACTTTTTCAACTTTTACTTTTAAGTTGTATACTTCGCATTTGAAATGTCATTTTTACACCATGTGCCAGGTTTTTATATATTTGCGAATAAAATGCTTCTCTCACCTCGTTGAACGGGGCGGACAAGAAACGGACGGGCTAAACACGTTCGTTGCGTCCATATGGTGCAGTTGAACAAGGTTCGAGCTAAAATCTAACGCACAAGTGATTACATGTATATAGTATAAAATAATATTTTTGGAATATAATGAATATTACATTCCGCTTAGCGTTATATTTTATAAATTGCGCGCGTGTATCGCGCTCGTGTTTTCATAACGTTGCGCCTCGAGAACGAACGGGGGGAACGTAAAGTCGTAAAGGGATAATGTAAATAAATTGGCGGCCCGTCTTGGGCGAACGTTCGCTCGGCTCGCCCTTGCATAAAGAATACGAGGCATCTAAGCAAAGTAGAAGCGTCGCGCGTCATAAAAACTAATGCCGGGAGGGTAAGACAGGTTTGGCGAGGCGCCAGGGAGTTGTAAGTGGCCCCTCCGTCATCTGCAGGTTGCGAAAATGGGATAAGGATATAGAGACCTTAACCGTGGACACAAAGCCGCAATTAAACTACCGCTGGTCGAGGAAACGGTGTGGTGCCGTCGCGTAAAACGCAACAAAAGTTGCCTGTCCTCAATATTCCGCGCGTTGCCCGAGCAGAATAACAAGTATCACGATATCGTCAAAATTATACGTTAAAATGAATCATAACTGATCGAAAACTTGACGTTTAATAATCATTTTTTGACGTTATTTTCATTGAGTCAGGATGACTTGTTGTTCCACTTGGGTGACGTACGGCGCGACGAAGTTTCGCGTACTGTCCGTCCATCCATCGCTTCTCGATATCTCGCGAGCGCGGGAGGGGGGGGGGCGCGTCTCGCACGTGGCGCGTTCTTGCCCGATGCCCTTTCACGGATTTCTCTCGTCTCTCGGGGTCGTTCATCAATCTCTCTTCGATCGCGGCCGAGCCGTCGGACGTCGGGAGCGCATCTCCACATTTAGTAGACGCCGATGTTATCGCTACTGCTGCAGAGCTCCTATCGCGCTGCCGCGGCCGTATCCTCGCCCGTGCCGCGCCAGACGCGACGCGGTTTCTTCCTCCACTTCGCGGGTGATTTACGACGTCGCGTAATCTGTGGAATGAATTCGCGGAGTCCTATACACTCCCCCTATATATATATCGTCCGTCCATTCCCACCAATTCTATTTTTTACGGCCACAGATACGAAGTTATTAGCATATGATTTTTTTTATGTGTCCATCGCGAGATGACATCCGGCGACGAGACGCTATTCGACGTCTTTCGACGGGGAGAGGGCGTACCCATCTCTTCCGCTCGCCCAACCTCCCAATCCTTCCGCTCCTGCTGACTCGAGAAAATCACAAAATTAATTCCCGTCCGTTTTTCGTTCCCCGTATTCCTCGGTCTATACTTTTCCGGATGAGTAAACTGCCCCTCGCGATATATCCGTTCGCGGCCTGTACCTTTTATTCTCCGACCGAGTAGAAGACGACGCTTTTATCTCGATCGCTTGAGAGAGAGAAAGAGAGAGAGATAAATCCTTTATTTTCGAGGATAAAAAAAAGAGAGATGTTTCCTGCGCAAGAAAGAGAGAAAGAGAGAGAGAGAGAGAGAAGGCGAGAGTACCGTGATTTAAACCGCGATCGTGAGATCCTTCGAGTTCTTCTAGAGATGTGCAAACGCGTCTGCTTCCGGTGTTATTTCGGTTGGAATTTCTCGCAGCGCTATTTCGTGAGAAATTTTCGAGGAAAGCTGTGCGTCACCCGCTGCATCTCGAGTCGTCTTTCCCGATTTTATTATAATTTTTGTTTTTGAAATACATTCATGTTTCTTTCATAAGAGAATGCATCCTGTACGATTTAAATCGTAACTTCTGATCCGTCCGATATCCCGTGTTCAGATATATCCAAAATATACATTAAGAATTGTAAATGTTAACGATATATATTCTTGTACACAAACGTACACGCACACGCTCATTTCGCTCGTTGTGTCCGTGATAAGCTCATCGTGGGATTTGCAGTGCCCGTACAGCTCTCAGGCAGGATTTTGGTTTATGGACAGAACTTTCAGTTCCAGTACCTCTTGCCGCAGAACGCGACGCTCTTCACGGAGTTCTTCGCGTCGTCGTCGCGACGGCGACGTGAAAGCGTTAGCCGGAACGAAAGGATGACTGTCTACGGGCTCCTGGAGGACGAGTTCGAAAGGTAAAAGGAATCATTTCACCATGTCGGACACTCGTATCGCACAACGTGGCAGCGTGAAAAAAAAAGTTATCGCGTTATTTACACACGAATACACACGCTCCAAGCTACATATACGGAATCTCAGCGGATATTTGAAGATATAATTAGCAGATAGAGGTCCGTTTGCCGGGCAGAATTACTTGCAGGCAGAAAGTATGATTTTTCTTTTAAGTGTTCTTTCGCATGTAAGAATCTAATTATTGGCTTAAAATACGCGCAAACAACAACGACAGATAATTGGTAATATTTTATTTGTTTATTAAACCGTAATAATTAAATAATGTTGCTGCTACTGCATACGTATTGTTTATTCTTCCATTAATTAATTTGTAGAAGGGGAATAGATGGAAGAGAATGCTTGAAAAAGAGCATATGCGAAGCAGCAACGACGCCTTTAGCGGACGAAGGACTCGTGGGAGAATTGTTGCATCTCTTGCTTACGTAATAACATTCAGATTTTAATTCCCGTGTAGATTTAAGCATTGCTGCTTGAAAAATCGAGACACAATTTTTATTCGTATTTTAGGCCTCGAAAAAGTGATACAGCTTCCGACTCCGAGTATTTACAGGCGCTGGAATTTGGACGAGACTATCACGATTGCTCACGGATCTACAAATCGTGTCTGCCTGGTCAAGGAATTCTAGATCAAATCTCAAAACTAACATAACGTAACGCAAAGCCATTTTCACAAATCAATTGGATTTAATAAAGAAAGCCTTTTCTTATGAAATAATTCAGTGAACGTTATAAGTTAATATAAAGGTTTATTATTAAATTCTCAAATGTAAACCGAATTAAAGAAGCATCTTTCTTCTCGAGAATATTCACACAGAGAAATTTCTATCGATGAGCCTCAAGGATATTCATACATGAAAATCTCTATCGATAAGTTGATGTTTCAACTGCTAGGCGGCTACAATGTTATATGTTAGAGCGACATTTAGTTTGATAATTGTAAATGAATACCAATAAAGTATACTTTAATTCAAATTAACATGTAGTAGTCAGTATTGAAATATTATTATTAAGATATCATTATTAAGATTATTTAATTATCTCAACGATCTAAATTGACTTAAAAGTATAAGTTCTTCACTATGTTTCAATAGCGATCATGTTTAGTAACGTCGATATATAAGAACGAGGCACAGAGAAAGTTTCTGAATAGTCTGACACTACCCAGGGAATGATCTGTGCTATAGGCGATGTGTTTCGCAGGAAGTGTCCCGTTTAACCACGTCCCGATTGACCACAGCCGGTGGATAGAGATTTTCCACTGTTCAAGCGGCGTGAGTGGCTGGTGGTCAATCGAGACGTGGTCAATCGCGGATGCCACGCGTTTTCGCAGCACGAAACTACTACTTATCAAGGGGAAGTTAGTGTTAAGTTACCAATATATACGTAAAAAAATTAAATCGTCTTCCGATATCTTTCAGACCTTCGACCGCTCCAGTTGCTAAGCCGCAATACTAATCGCAATATGCTTAAAGCACCTGGGAAGGATGGAAGATATCTAATGTAGAATATAGTAGGAAATTATACTGAGGTGGTAATTATTGATCATTCTTTTTGCAAAAGAAAAATAATATTAAATTTTCCAATTCACGATAACTCAAAATAAATTATTAATCTTGATACACTGATTTTAATTTTGTCAGTTCAATTTTTTGTATCTCAAGTTGTATCGCTCATTTATTTACGATTAAAATAGTTTAAATTTATTATTATTTTTATTTAAATTAAATAATAACGTAGCGCAAAGCCATTTTTATGATTAAATAAATTCTTTTCTTATGAAATAATATAGTGTACGGAAGCATTTTCCTTCTCGATGTTTCTCGAGGATATTCACACAGAGAAATTTCTATCCATAAATCTCAAGAATATTCACAAATGAAAATCTCTATCGATAAGTTGATGTTTCAACTGCTAGGCGGCTACAATGTTATATATATGTTAGAGCGACTTAGTTTGATAAGTGTCAATAAATATCAAAAAATTACTTTAATTCAAATTAACATGTATCAATACAACATTAAAAAAATTATTATTAAGACATTAATATCGAAATCATTTAATAATCTGAACATTTAATAATCTGAACTATCTACATTGATTTAAAAGTATAAGTTCTTCACTACGTCTCAATAACGATCATGTTTAATAATGTCGATATATAAGAACGAGGCATAATGAAAGTTTCTGAATGATTTGATATTACCCAGGAAAAGATCACAAATTTAGCTAATTCACAATATTGGCGGCACAATATTGAAATTTGTCAATATTGTGCTATTATGGTACCTACTGGTATAGTACAATTAACACGTATACCTCTCGGATGTCTTTCAGGCCTTTGTCTCACCATTTCAGAAATTGCTAAGCTGCAATCTTAATTGCGTGTTTAAAGCAAAACTAAAATCTTCAATTAGTCCTATCTAGTTTCAAATATAGTAGGAAATTATGATATATTTATTATACTGAGGTGATAATTGTTGACTATTCTTTTTAAAAAAAAAATTAATGTTAAATTTCCCAATTCACAATAAGTCAAAATGCTCAAAATAAATTATTGTAGATACAGTGATTTTAATTTTGTCAGTTTGATGTGCATTTTTTTTATCTCGAGTTATATAGTTTGTAATTTATTTACGATTATAATAGTTTAAATTTATAATTTTTTTAAGAAAAACGAAAAGTTTGTTGTTTTCATAATTTTTTACGCTTAAATCTGCCACTATTTGTAAATCGTTGCAAAACTTTTTAGTTATTTTTCTATCGAAGATACAGTGCATTGTGAACGCGTTCAATAAATATATAATATCTAATTGAAAGGCTAAAAGTATTGTTTTTTTCAATGCATTAAAACATTTTTTTTATGAGAACGAAATGTAGAATATACTTTCAGCTGGTCCAGTACTTCTCACGAAACTGTGCATTGTGTGGCTCATATAAAAAGGGTCATATCGATTCGTTTAGTCGGGGAACCTATAGCGGAGAATTGTCGCGTTTAGTTACGCTTGAGTTAAATTAAGCACAATCGTATTTCTCGGATTTAACGTTAACCACATTTCTACTAATTGGCACGAAACGGTGGAAGATAAAGAGGGTAGTCAAGACGCGAGACGTGATTCAAGGCGGAAAGTGTCGTTTTCCTTGGATGTTGGAGACACGATGAGTATCGAGTCGATCGGCCGATTCCGTCCTTAGGTTTCCAATGCAATTACTTTGAACAATAAGAGATAAAGATAATAATTCTTAATAATTTCAATGCTATATAAGCAGTAAGGAGAATTCTTTAGAAAGAAGAATTATATTTTAAAAGAAGACAATAATTTCCAGCGAGCTTTAGTTTCCTTCTCTCCGTCTCACTGCCTTTCCGAGTATGATCTTGGAAGGTAATCGTACATTCATCAAGGCTGCTCGTAACGGTATTGAAACCGAGGTTCTCCAGGAACGGGACTGAAAGTAACGAGCTTAAGCGAATCCCGGATAATTTGTCGCTCGGCGAGCAAACATTGCGCAACGAGCAGTTAAGTATACTGCTATTCGCGGAAACGCCGGTAATTGATCGATGCTTTCGGGGACGCGTAAAAGCGTGGCGGCCGGCGCGGCGCTTACTCGTCGGTACTTCGGTGCGGTGCGGGGGAATAACTTTCGCAGTTACGCTCGGTCGCGGAATTAAGCGACCAGTGTATCTCGTGGAATTAACGCTATAACCGCGCTCCTCATAATTGGCAACGAAACAGAACAGGAGTGAGAGGGAAGAGAGAGAGAGAGAGAGAGAGAGAGAGAGAGAGAGAGAGAGAGAGAGCGAGCGAGCGTT